ACGTACGTAACTAACCGTACGTAATACAAGTACGGTCCGACGACGTACCACCGACCTAACTTAGTTTAGTTAAGGTACGTACAGATACGAACAACTAATATATATATATATATATATATATATATATATATATATATAGGAAAAAAAGATAGAAAGAGAGAGAGATCGAAACCCTAAAACAATAGTAGTGGGGATAAAAGAATAGTAGTGGGGATTAAGCATGGATTTCATAAATATGTTCACCCTTATTTAAATGTTATGACTATAAATATATATATTTAAAATAAGTTAATAAAATTCGGGTCCAGTTCGCATGGACCCGGGCCCAGACTGGGGTCTCGTCCGCATGGGGTCCAATATTTGGACCTGGACCCAACCCGTCGGTGGGTCCAATTCTTGTACCCATACCCAGACCCAACTCGGGTCTACACGTCGGGTCTCAGGTCTTCGGGTCCTGATTGCCAGCCCTAATTTTACATCAATTCATAACTACCAAAATATCATCTACAACGACTAAAACACCCAAAAATAGGAAAGAAAAGAACCAACCTACTAAATTTAAACAAAACAGAGAGAGAGAGAGAGAGAGAGAGAGAGAGAAAGGGAACCAAAACAGAGCTTTGAACCCCCATAGATAGAGGGAACCAAGATCAATGTGAACTGTACATCGAATTACTTTACATGAGGGTTAGATCATGCTCAAGTGAAGTCCTAGGATCAGATTCTACATTCCAATAATCAAAGAATCATTCATACTAAATAAAAGAAAAGAGAACAAAGAAACATCGGAGGAAACAATGATTGATTATTAGTTAAGAAACTTGAAACAATGGACGATAAGAAAGAAAAGTAAACAGGCTCTACCATGAAAGCATCGATGAAGCCAGAGATGTGAGTTTCCTTCGCTTTCTAGCAGCTCTATTACAAGGCCTGCGGTTCTTTCTCCACAGATGATCCAGTTCACTCTGAAAGTATAGAATGCCTGGTTTGTTCATGTTAGTGACTGTCTTCAACCTTCTCTGCAAGCTAGACCTGGCTTTTCTCGGACGTCTTCTTCCGATGATTTCGGAATATTTTGATGGGGACGTTGCATCGTTCAAGTTGTGATCGCTGGCCCAATCAATGGTTGCCCTGCTAAAAATTGAGATTGGGTTATCAGGATTCAGGACAATCAACTGGTGAGGGCACGGGCACCACTCCGGTCTAACCCAGTCAGACCGGCCAGTTAACTAACCAGAAGGATAAGAAAATACAAAAAATTTAAAAAAAAAATTGGTTAAAATAGGAAAACCAATTAGAATCGTCAAGTTCACACCGGTTCGACCAGTCTAAATGGCCAGTTCTCACCAGCTTTTAAGCATTTTTTAGCAGTTTCTTGTTCGGTTTGGACCTGTCAAACCGACCAGTACAGGCATCAACTGGATATCACCAGATTGGATGCCGATTCAGAGCTCTCCCTGGTTTAGGACCCCCTAACCAACCGGTTGGGGAAGTGGTTCACAAATTCCCAGTCGGAACCGGCCAGTCTGGTCTTAATTTGATTGCTTCAAAATTTTAAAAATTTCATATGGCATTGGTTTTTGTTTTTTTTTTTTTGGTGTTGGGGAGGAGGGGGGGTGTTGGGGCAAGAGAGAGAGAGACCTTCTCTCATGGTCCTTTGATGGGGTTGGACATGCAAACTCCTCTATTGGCAGTGGTCTGCATGCAGGGCAAAAGAATTCCTCCGGAGCTGGTTCTTGAAGATTAATACAATCAAAGTGATACCATTCGTTGCAACGGTCACAGGCAATCATCGCTCGCTGATCATAGGGCTTCCGGCAAATGCAATAAAGTACACTCCGAGCTCTTAGTAACTGCATAAGCGATGGAAGCACGGTTAATAAAAAATACATGACAATAGGAAAAAGTAAATCAGAGGGATTTGGACCAGCAGCCAAAACTGAGATCGCAATCTGGAGCAAATTACAGCAGGCATTGATTCCTAGAAAATGTAATATTTTCCTTCAAAAGGATGGAACCATGCAAACTCATAAAGCTAATCCAAATCATATATTCAAATAAATTAAATTGGAATGGCCATTATAATTATTAAAAAAAATATTCATAAAGCCCATCCTAGAACCCTGTCAAACCCAGTCTAATTCATGAAAATATTCATGATTTTGCCCAGAAAACCATGAATTTTCACTCCAACCAAGCACTAGAAAATATGTGACGAGATTTACCTCCAACTCCTTCTCAAAGTGGATGGGCAAATTTTCACCCTCTGTAATAAGCTGAAATACTTTATCCAGCTCAAGTAATCCATAATCAGAAGCAACCTGCAAGAACGGAGTCTTAGAAACAAGTTTCTTCATACTCTCCTCCAAGTATATTGAAAAGGAAAAGTTTGTTTTAGAACTTTTTCTACCAAATTACACATTACAAAAAAAAAATACAGAGTAAAAGGCCATGAATCCCACTGGCAAGATCTTATCATCCATTGCCTTACCTGCTTGGCACGATTAGCCCACTGTGAACACATGCCTTCCAATTCCTTCAATTTTTGTAAGTAGTGATCCTCCAAAGATATATCTAATGATGATCCCTGTTAAATGACACTCTTTGTGTAAGCAACTCAAAACCTAGATAGAAAGATAAATCTGAAAGTAATTTCACACATCAAATGTCATTAAAAGACAGTCCAAAAAAGCAATAACCAGTAGCAGTCATGCTTCAAGAAGTAAAAGCCATCACAATAGAGCTTGTTTACTAAAATGAGGAACTTGTTTTAAGTTTACATATATAGTTTATCAAGTAAAGTTTAAAAATAAATTCCATCTGCTAGAGAAATAAATTGGTTTATATCCTTACCCAAGATCACACTGAACACAGTACTATTTCTAAAATGCATGAGAGAGAGAGAGAGACTTAGCACATGCAACAATCAGAAAGAAAGTTCATCAACATGCAACAATCAGAAAGAAACTTCAACACAAACGGAAATTAAATAGAAATTTACCTCCTTTAAGAGATTCCGAATCTGCTGGACAAGGGGCTTCTTTGTACCCTCTAAAAGTCTCTTGGTTTTCATTTTCCATGAATGCCTACTCAACACCAGCTTGAGTTTGCAGCGGATGTGATTATCATGGATTCCCACTACTTCAACTGCCTGAGCAGGTCGACACATCTTCAGATACATTATTCCAGGCGTCTCAAGAGAGAACTTATTCTATAATCAACCCTCAAAACTTTTTGTGGAAGTCTATAATAAATCATGAAACAGCAACATTGACCACAATACAATCATGTTTTCTCAGATATTTAGCCGAGAATAGAAGGTATACATGACTGAATGGAGTAAATTACCCTCCAACAGGAATCCACGATTTGTTCCAGATAAGGAACATTGGAGTTTAGTCATGATGGGGACTACTGGACATAGTTTAACCAGTGATTCAAAAAGCGGGCCGCCTAACGCCTAGGCGGTCCAGAAGGACTGGGCGAGGCGGCCAATCTGGGAGGTAGTCCCGGGGCGGCCGCCTAAGCGGGTGACCAGGGCCTGCGCCCCGCCCAAAGGCGGAAATTATTTTTTTTCAAAGTTGACAAAAATTGATTAAAACATCACTCATTGATATTAGATTTAATTTTTTATGTTTTATAAATCTATTGGGGGTTTTTTAGAAGATTTTGAGTCTTTAGAAGTATCTTTGACTGGGCATCCTTTTTAGATTCGACTGGGCCACCCAGGTTCTGGGCGCCCGCCTAGGCGCTGGGCTGCCTGGACCCCCCAAGCCACCTAGGACCTGCCTAGCGTTTTTTGAAACACTGAATTTAACTAATCCCAACCATACTTCATGAGTTACAGATGTTGGAGGCTACTTTGAAGTACCATATTCCATTGGATGGGGACTACTGGACATTAGGTTCAACTGATCCCAACTTTACTTCACTGTTACAGATGTTGGAGGCTACTTTGAAGTACCATATTCCATTGAATTATGGCATACTTCTCCAATATGGAAAGCCCATGCATGAGTCGAAGAAGTTACAATCAATGACCTAAATTCTCCAGTTCAATGGTAGTAGTGAAGATTTAGTAATCAAGAAACAAATATCTTGTAGCATACAAGACCAGGTTTTTTGACATAGAAACATGCAATCCAAGATCAATGTGAACTGGATGCCAGGGAAATAAAGGGGTAAATAACCGGACAGTAGCTGAAAATGTAAATTTTTAAAATGCCTGTTCAACCACTCACAGTGTTTAAAATACAGAAGAGGGCATAAAGGCAAATTGATCGAAAGGTAGGTAAAGTCAACAACTTTCAAAAAGATTGACAGGTCGGATATTCATTTTTAAAATAAAAATAAAAAGGATAGCTCTAGGCATTATCCTGATGTTTGAAGTTTCTGGACCACACATGACCTAAGCGGGTGTTCCAGGTCCTGTCTTTATATTCCTTCCTAAATGGTTGCGGTCCTTGTAGTTACCCTAAAAAATAGCATTCAAGAGCTAGAAGATATACTTTCATAGCGATCAGAAGACTTCTTGTGATGGAGCTGATATCCTCACTGTGGTATGAAAGTGCATGAGTTACTGTCTCATTTAAGCGTGATTGGCATTCCAGTGCTAGCTCAACAATTTGCTCTACCATGCCCTGCTCTTTAATCCTGTCAAAAAAGATATTTAGCTCATTAATCAAGAAAACAGTTGTATCTCCAAGGACAACAATAAAAACTTTTACCAGCAGATGAGAAATTTTGCAACAAAAGATTTTGAAATGGTTAGAACAATATACACAAACTTTAACAAACAGAATCTTCGAATAGAATGCCAAAATACAAAAACACTCGGCATTTTTTATACAAGGGCTAGAAGCAAACCATATACGGAAAAGAGATCTGCTTCAGATGCCCGTTTCCAAATGTGCCTGGATTAAAAAGGGCAGCCTGAGTGGATGGCCCAAAAAAGGTTCTCCTGGTGAAGCTAATCAAATAGGTTCAAACCCTATTCGTTGACTCAGAATACAACTTTGGCCTCACTCCCACCCACCCCTCCACAACCCCACCGCAACACCCTCCTCCCTCCCCTCCCACCCACCCAAAAAACAGAAAAAGCAAGAATACAACTTTGGACTCACCCTGTAGATATTATATGATTAATTTCTTAGTTTCAACATGTCTATAAAATATCAACCTCATAAAGTAACCAAAATATTTATAGAACTCCCAAAATTCCTTCTAAATTGGTCCTTTTATCCACCTTAGGAACTCTCGTATGGGATTCAATATTATAAACTCAATTCTACACAAAGAAAAAAGGAACTTCCAATATCTGAACTTATTATACATTCCTGCTCATCATAGATTCCAAACAGTGTTTCAAAGAACGCTTGGCAGACGGGGGGTTCCAGGCCGCCCAGTGCCTAGGCAGACGCCCAGAACCTAGGCGGCTCAATAGAACGGAAAATGTCCATAGTCTAACAGTATAACTGTATAATATGTAAGACAAGAGTTAGGGACTTAGGGCACATCAAATGTCTCTAAAATCGGCTCTAATGGGGTTTATGTTTCAAATAAACTTAAAACACACAATTTTCCCCTTTTTTTTAACAAAAAATAGACCTAAAAATGCCCCTCAATGAGTGCATTTCTGCCCCTGGGCGGGGTGCAGGTCCTGCTGCCCAGGGCTGGGTGCTAGGCACCCGCCTAGGTGGGTTCTCTAGAGCCCAGGCGACCCGCCTATCTGGGCCGCCTAGGCTTGGGCGAGGCGTCTTGGCTCTCTGGACCGCCTAGGCTCTGGGCAGTCTGCCCTTTTTAACATGGATTCCAAATATACCCACAGAAAACATGGTAAATGCCTATTCTACCTTTATCAGAATTTAATAAATGGCAAGTCGAATCAAGACTCACCCATGGCAACTCACTTCAGATCACTACCAAGCCAACTACGTCTCAATAAGACTCAGCCAAGTTTCACCAATAATACTTGGCTCAGAACTATCACGAGTCCTGAACCATTCAGTCTAGTCAAACTTTGCCTCTTACCACACATATATGCATACACTACTGATAAACTAAAACAAGGAAAGTCTAAACTTATGAATAAATGCAAATTCAGTAAATTGCAAACATAACGATGTACCAACTGGTTTCTTTTACTATAACACATCCCAGTTATTTTTATATTGTTTTTACCTCAGCATTACTTCTAGATATCAATGAACTACTAAAACCCCAAAATTGAATCCCAACATAGAGACAATCAACAAGCCCACCACCATAAAGCATACGTTCTTATGGCAGGAGAAATGTGGCATTTGAACCCCAAAGCTGATGGTTAGGCTAAAGAGCTCCATACCATCAATTGCAACAAATTCACCGTCATAATAACTACAAGAATGCCAAACTTCAAGAAAAAAAAAAATATCACAATAAAAGAATAAATCTTACTAAGACTCTCAATATGAAATAACAGAACAATTGAGGCTGCAAGTTGGTACAGCTTGATAGAAAGCAGTCCTTACCCTGGATAAAAAGTCTTTGCTTCATGTAGAAGTTGAACGAATCCATCAAGCAATCGGCACTCTTCTTTGTAATTCTGAACAAAAAGGACAAACTTTTGCAAATATCTATAATATGCACAACTTGAAAGATATAATCATTAATCACAGAAGATACCTTTGTTTGCTTTCTGTTTTTAAAAGCCCCATTTTCCATATGCATGAAAAGCTTGCACTTATACAGTTCCAAGTCTAAAGATGCCTCTTCAGTCCCCATACAAGAGCCCCTGGACCAATTTATCATACACGTCAGCAATTGCAGATGTGCAAATTCCAAAAATGGTGACATCAGCTTACTTATGGTTATACACAAAATAAATTGAAACCAGACCATCACTCTTGTGCCAAAATATTTTTTTTAAAAGACTGATCTTGTGCCAAAATATTGTGATTAGGTTTATATTCTATGACCAGACCTTAACCAGCAGTATCTCAAATAAGTAAGAGACATGTTTAGCACACAATTGGTATGGTAGCCCAATACCAAGTTGGCATAGACGGCCAAAAACCCGGAATCTATACAACAGTTCAGCACATCTTGTGAAAGCATTATTAAAAATACAAGTTTGAGTTGTTTTCAGCAAAACAAAAAAAAGTAAGAAATGGACGCATCTGAAAAGAAAGGGTGTATCAAAAATAATAGGAATTTGGGAGTACATCAATCTTCCACAAAAACAAAGCTTTTTTTTTTTTTTTTGAAAATTCACAAAAACAAAGCTTATTCATTCAAACTCTTCAAAAGGAGCTCATTTCGTCATATTTTCATGTTCCCAGCTTCTTCAAATAGGGAGTACGGCCCAAATCTCCCTCAGTGGAGCACATCCATGACACGATTAGCATCCCCAGCACATAGAGGTAAACGATAGACACTTGGATATTCTTCATGCCTCCACGATATGAGCAATCTAAAGGTTATTTCGTCTCTTTATAGGGCCATCTAACAACATCAAATGAACAACTTTCCATACCAAATGATCCTAAGCATAAGAAATGAAAAGTCTAATAAGGTTTTGCAAGGCCTTGCTTCTGCCCTATGGCATCAAAGATGCCCACAGAGACTGCAGAGGTTTTGATTACCCTGCCTCTTAGGCATTCTCAAGAAAATCACCAGCTCTTGATAGCCCAAGCTCCCCTACGAGTTACATCAAAGTCAGTATGCGACAGCAACCAAAGCTTTCACCAAACTAGCCCTAGGAATAGATATACACGAGACAAACTTCCATTCCTAACATATGGCTGTGGGTATGGTGATATTTGTTTGTTTCTTTCTTCCAAAATGACATAAAGAGTTGGCCAGTGGACGCATCTTCCCGACATAAAACTGCACTCAGGCCATTAGCCTAAAGCTATGGACAAAGGCACGACAAAAGAGACTAGGAAGTAATTTCTAAATCGTAAGAGAAAAGGGCAATTTAAGAGAACCGTACTCTGCAGCAAGCACCCAAGATGCCATTTTTTTAAGTTGTAGCTCATATAATACAAATACAAATCAACACTTCAAAAAACAAAAAAGGACAATGTAAGAGACAAGGTAAATTGTTCCTTCTTCCTTTGAAACACCACAAAAACATAATACGGCTCTATAAACATCACATTTGAAGGTTGACTATATTGATCATCTCATTAAGAGTAGCCAAACAATAAACCAAGAGAACCTGCAGGAAGATCGGATACCAAGACTAAGCAACGTTGGCAAGAACTCCCCACCACTCCTTAGACAGCACAAAGGAAAGATCCACGAGAAAAACAGCCCACATCGGCTCACCTCCACATTTTTCTCTTCTTTTTGAGGAAACCAAACAAAAGCGAGAACCTTTTTGATGCAATGTGTTGGACACAGCATGTTTGTATCAACAGTACAGTGTTTTTTCCAAGCGGCACCTAGGCGATCATGGGCATCCTGGCCGCCCAGCGCCTAGGTGGCCGCCCAGGCGAGCGCCCAGAATTATGGGTGATACATCATAAAATACTAAAACTTTTAAAATCCAATAATCCAAGGTTCCAAACCATTGCAAACTTATAATAGACCACTAGCACAACCAAAAACAAAATATAATAGTAAATTAATTATACAGGCACAATCCATAATCCATACTTCATAGACCATCTATCATGATCCATATCCATACCATTCCATAATCCATAGTTCTATACAATGATAGAGGCATACACATAAGAGTAGAAACCAAAAAATAAGAAAAATAAAATATACGCTCAAAGACTCAAGCGTCAAGAGTCTTAAGTCATCATCAGAAAAAGTGGGGCAAGCCTCATCATATACACCAGAGATGACTCCACCACCATCAAAGTCATCTCCCTCTTCAACATAACGCTCGTCCTCATCCGTTTCTTCTAAATTTGCATGTTCCTCCTCTTCTTCTACCCCCCGCTTGCTCTGTACAGATGATCTGGAGGCCTAAAGGGTGTTGGTTGCTCTATTTGATGCCTCTTCGCCCTATTCTTGCTTTACGTATTTTATTGAACTCAAATACTGTTTCATCTCCTCCCTAGTAGCTTCATGAACATTTTTACAAGGGGTAACATCCCCCTATTACCAACAAGGTATTCCTTGAATCGCTAAATATCCCCATTAGTATCATTTCCATAATAATTACACCTTATACAATTTTTGTCATTCAGATTCAGGTTATAACCATACTTCCAACCTGGATCACCATTTTTAGAAGAACCCGGAGAAGACATTTTCATATAACAAAGCTCATTTTCTTCATTTTTTGGTTTACCAAATTCAAATATTGTCTGATCTCATCCCTAATAGGGTCAGGAACTTTTTTACAAGAAGCAACATTCCCTTCAATACCAGCAAGGTATTTCTAAAATCGGGTAATACACCCATTGGTATCTTTTTCCCAAAAATTATATATTATATAATTTTTATCGTTTAGATTCGGGTTATAACCATACTTCTAACCCAGATCACTCCTTCTAAAAGAACCTAAATAAGACTTTGCAATAACCAATAAAATATCAAATATGAAGATTATTAACTAACATTAATGCTTCCTAAAAACCTTCTAATAAGCCTCAAAAATCTACAAAATCAAATCCAAACCAAAAGGATGATGTTTGGATCGCTTTTTTAAAACTTTGAAATACCAATCAATCTCACGTAATACCTAACACCCCAACCCCCCTTCTTTCCCCCATTATTTAAGGGGAAAAGAACAAAAATGCCTCTCCACGAGGGACATTTTCGCCCCTGGGCAGGTGCAGCCCTTAAAAGCCTGCCCAAGGAGCCACCGCCCAAAAGGGCCGCCAAGGCCTGAGCAATGCCTAGGCACTAGGCGGGCCGCTTTTTAAATCATTGCATAACAGACACCGATTGTGAATCCTTGCAACACACACGAGCTTGAGGGCACAAAAGGTACCTCAATGACTCTTATTTACGGCTCCATATAGATCATCAATCAAAAGTTCAGGAGGCAACCTTCTAAGAGCTATTTCTTTTAGGTTGCTACCTGAGGATCTTCATTAATTAAAGAGAGATCCTTTGAGGCCAGGAAAACTTTTTTCCCCCTTTAATCAATGCATTACAAATGGATTAGATGAATAAATAGCTACGATTAAATGTATATAACCCCATCTTCTTCTTATACTGGCAAATTCTGATAAATATCATGGGCACTGCAAACATCAAAATGTCCATTTCTAAAGCATGAACAAACACCCAAAGCCAGCTGCTGGCCCCTGTAGTCCTCCTCTCCCTTCCCATGATGAAATGAGGAAGTGGAAGGACCATTATGGAGCTCGTAGCTTGCATCAAGCAACTTTACACTGCCGAATGGTCCTTTCAAAGGAGCGAGGAAAGCAGCCTACCTCTACCTTCTTACAAAATAGGAGTGTCAAAGACTCAAAGTAATACAATGATATCGAAAATCAGCTCTCTTCAGAAAAATGAAATAATCTAAAAAAAATTGTTTTATTAGATACATCAGATGATGACATTTACTCGAGTGAATTTATAGAGTAGCTGGAATCCAAACTGCATACAGTAACCAGAGTTAAGGCTAAAACTTAGCAACAGTTGACAGTAAATCTTGTATTCTTATGTGACGATGGAGTGGATTTTCTTTAATGAGCTAACAACAAATTGAAGTTGGACAGTTAATTATTAAAAGAACTCAATTGCCTTAATCACAACCATTCTGAACTGATAACAAAACCACTGACCTGTCATCACATGTTGAATAATTTTTTACATTTCCAATTTCAGGAGCACTCTGATTGCAGATGCCAAAGCCTGACTTGGGATCTCTACGAAGAGCTAGATCCAGTGAATCTCTAATCTGCCAAGAAGCGATCATGTTCATAACCAATATCCAATGCAGTAATTTAAGAACACTTTAGCCAACTTAAAAAGGCAGGCAAAAGAGAGTGTGATCCACCTCGACAAGTGTATCAACTAATGGAATGGGATCACCGACAGAATGCCCTATAATATACTTGCAGTGCAGCATCCATTTGTTAACTTTTGCTACTTCACAACCCACTCTATCCAGTTCCATACAATCAAAGGCATTAGCTTTCCCAAATTCCTGAAAACAGAAACTTCCAAAAACTTACACGAAGCCAAATAATAACCAAAAGGAATTAAATCAATATCCGGGACAATATGCAAGCACTTTATCATGATTCATTAAATTTGCAATCAGTTTCCAGCAGAAAGGATAGTGGTTTAGCTTGAGCAGTAAGAAAACAGTAAAATAAATCTCTTGTGTAACTTTCATGACGACCATTGCTAAAGGTATTCCGGTCATTTGAAATTCTGCTGAAAATAAAGCACTGTATGTCTGACCCAAAACTAGTAGCCCCCAATTATGCCCACAAAGCAACGGGTACACCTTACACATTATAATATAACTAAGGTAAGTCCAATGGACTATGGAAAACCACAGTCCATTGGGTACTGAACATCACCTGAAATAGACTGATAATTTCATGCATAAACATTGCCATTCATGCATTCAAGAGAAAAGAACTGGAAATGGAAACAGGAATAGATAATTTTCTGTTCTTCAAAAAAAAAAAAATATTCTATTGTGAACTTGTTATGACCATGTAAATTGAGCTTAAAACACAAGTTAATCATAGTTCACCTCAAGCTGTAACAACTGGGGCCAAGAACATTTCTCCAATTTCTGGCCTAAAAACATCTGGACTTCTTTCTGCCAAACCCTGCATTTACAGTATCCATGACACCACTCATTGACCTAACTACATGGAGTATGACTCTTAAAACAGATCGGGGATGGTATACAATGATTGATACAGCATACATGCCCCATAAGCCAAAAGGAAACCACCATCCAATCCTGTTGGAGAACGGTGGAAATTAATAGCGGTGGCCACACCGTGACATTCACCCAGGTAAATTAATCTCTGTCCATTCATCACTAGGAACAGAAAGTGGATTCCCCTTTGGAGTATTACAGAACTGAATTATAGTTGTTTTATTATTATTGTTTCTCCATAGAGTTAACTTTTCCAAACAAATATTATTTGCATGAAAACGGGTTAACCAACACATTTGGAATGAATGTTAACTCCAGTCAAAATCCACAAATGCAAAAAAGTAGGGACAAACACCACTAATAAATAAACGTACTTGTGCTTCTCAATAGCATCCATAAGTTGACCAGTCATTGCAGGAAACGAAACTTTAAGAATCTGCAGCAATCAGATAATAACCATGAGATATAACATATAGACTTGTACCAGAAAATCAAAACTGAAAGAAACCATTGCTTTCATAAGAATAGTCAGCACAGATGCCACAAGAACGTAGCCCATACCTGTGCTTCATCAAGAATTTCCTCAGCATCCTTCAACTTGCACCTCGATATGGGATGGCCTGAAATTACCAGAGATGCTTTCCGGACCCATCTTGCTCCTTCAAGCAACAGCTCCTCTAAAACTACATACGCACTACATGGAAGCTTTGCAGCATCTTCAATTACACAATCAGCTTCCTAATAATAACAAATTCACCAAAGTAAAAAAAAAAAAGATTCATGAACATAAGATCAAGCACATAATATACCATTATTGAAAAAGCATATACACACTGGTAATATCACTACACATTGGAAGCACAAAAACTTTCTGGGATAAGCATAGAAAGAGAATCCCTGCTACTATGGCAAGACCTAATTCTAAACTGCAACATCGATATGCGAAAGAATAATGTCATCTGCAAGACCAACCAATAAAAGAACAAAGTTCAACAAAATTATATGCAAAACAAGATCTGGCACCGCCAATATAATTCAGAAATAGAAAGAAAACCAAGAACCACATTGACCCAATATGTGGCTTCAGAGGTCAAGCAACTATATTACAGCCAAACAGACTAAAACCTAAACCAAGGGGTAGATAAGCAAATTCAAGATTTGGTCCCATAAGTGTTCACTACTTGAAAATCCATAGCAAGGAATCATTTTTGAAGGGCAAGGAGTACCATCCCACATAGCAGGTTCCAGACTTGATTTTGCAAGTCAAGCAAAAAGATATTAAAAAGAGTAGCGTGCAAAGCTGTGCAAGGGAACAACATAATACTTCAAGTTCAACTAATCAACTAGAAGCTATGTTAACCGCTAGAGGTGCTCTAATCAACAAATCTGCCATCATGTCACAGGGTTAACAAGCAATGTATCAATAACCAAAAGAAAAACTTTATATGCACGTAGTGACAATTATATGTGTTTGGTAATCCAACCATAACTGAAAAATAAAAAATAAAAAAACGCTGGTCTGCAGGAGCCTTTTCTTTAGGCAGAAGAGATAATTCAATTAAAGAAGTAAAGTGGTTATCATTATCTATGACAAACAACCAGAACTATAATATGAAAACTCCTAAGCGAATAATAAACATAGAAGACCATAATTCCAATCATTCATAGTTCCACTCTTATTAAGCCCCTCTAGGAACATGAGTCAGATCAATTATAGAAGACAAAGAACCATAGGGGCAAATATCATATTCCCAAATGAAAGTACTTCGCTACTATCCAAGTTTGTGTCCCAATTGTGGTCTTTCTTCTTTAAACTATGCTCTTGTGGTCCTTTTTTTTTGATAATGTAAACTTTGTATTGCTATAAGAGAAGAGAGAGTACAACTGTTGGGGGGAGGAAACTGAGACGACCCACGAGAATGGTCTCTCAGTCCAAAAAATTTTCCAGGAGCTCTATACAGAAGTTTCCTGGTTACAAAAAAGAAGACTGTATAGGCAAAAAATGGGGCTTATAAGTATGCCCGATTCCAGTTACAGTGTGAAGAAAGAGCCGAACTACAGTCCTTGAATCACTTAGTGGTCCAGAGCAAAAAAGGAGATAGACCGGTCGGGATCTTCCACATATAGGCGCGCTCCATCTTTAGCAAGCAGATCGGCGAGCTCGTTCGACGTCTGCTAGATATGCTTCCAAATGACATTGATATCCCTGCAAATATAGTGAATTTCATCAAAAGTTCTGGACAGGTACCAAGAGGGAGAAGCGATTCGAGCTGCCCAAGAGATGATATTTTGAGCATCTCCTTCTACCATCAGGGTTAGGCCCCATGAAGGGTTAAATCCTTTCAGGCCCATCAGAAGAGCCAAAGCTTCTGCTAACTGGGAGTCTCCATGGGCCACAAATTCTGAGTAGGTTAGAAGGATATTGCTGTTGCGGTCTCGAAACACCCCTCCTGCTCCTGATGGGCCTGGGTTACCCAACGAGCAACCGTCAAAATTCAATTTGATAGTATTTTCAGGAGGGGCCTGCCAATTGCGAGGCCTTTGGTTTTTGAGAGGTTGAAGGTGTAAGATATGTTCCCAAAGGCTGAGGAAAGTATTAGAGGGGATCCCGGCAAAGTCCTTCTGGGTGGAGGCCCAAAAGATTACTAAAGTAGTAATCTTATGGAAAAGCACAGGTACCTCTTTTTTTTTACCATGGAAGACCCTCGCGTTTCTTTCTAGCCAACTGGTCCATATGGTAGCAGCAATTGTTGCCTTCCACAGGATTCTGCCGGTCCTAGGCCAGTGGCTGCCTGAACAGGAGCAGATAAGGTCCTTTACCAAAGGTGGGAGGGCCCAAAGAAAGCTGAATAGTTGAAGGACAAGACTCCACAGTTCAAAAGCCAGGTTACAGTGTAGAAACAAATGAGGGACTCCTCCTCTTTCAAGCACATGGGGCATCTGTTGGGGAGCTGGAGGCCTCTTTGTTGGAGCTGGTCTACTGTGAGGGCCCATTGGCAGTAGGCTACCCAGTTAAAGCTTTGGACATTTGGAGGACCATACTTTGGAAGTTGCCGAAATGGGATTAACTGGGGATGTTGGTGGTTGAGAAAGTTTATTATAAAAGGAAGAGACAGAGAAGTTACCAGATGGAGAGGGGATCCATACCAAGGAATCATCCCCATCTGGATATGCGCTTGTGGTCCTTCTCTTTGAAATATGCGAATTATGAACTAGAGAAAACTAACACTGTGACTCATAAAACCAAAGTTGACACCACTCCCTAGAATCCACAAGTGGGATGAGTCCATGCTAAATATGGGCTTAGCGGATGACTCAAAACCCAAATTGTTTTCTAGCCAATTTTAATCTCTATAATAGCCAATGGGGGTGTGAGCTGGCCATTATATCCAACCTCTGTCGCCCCCATTTCCCAATAAGAAGGGAAAATGTAACAACTTATTAATACATCATCATCATCATTATCATCATCATCATCATCATCATTATCATCATCATCTAAACCTTATCCCAACTATTTGGTGCCGGCCACACAAATCCAATTCCACCATTCTGCTCTATCAAGAGCCATACCCTCAGCAAAAGAGTAAACGAACATTTGGAAACCAAAAATTAGGCAAGTCAAGACAAATTAACTAGATCTAAGTCAAATAGAGCCAGAAATTCACTACTATGGCTTTATGTTTCCATATTTTTCTATTTTTCATATTATCCATTTTATTTTTCTAACGTTTATAGGATTAAAACTCAAACAAGACTCACCAAGTCAAACCACCGAGTCTTGACAACATGGATCAATACTTAAAAGAGACCCCAGCAGTGACAGAGTGTTTAACTCTAGCTAAAAGAGCTCTCAGTTCAACATCAGAAGAGACACAAATGAGAGCACCAAGCGCACCAAGGTCTTGAAGATGCAAGCTCTCTGTTTTGCGTCCCAGGTCCAACTGTCCAGTAGTTCTACAGGAAGCTACCATCATAGATGAAATTCACCCCTCAATCACCTTTGCTTGAAAATCTTGTATCTTGGCCTATGTAAGGGACTACGAGGAACTAGATTCCAATCTCCAGCCAGATCAGCATAAGGCTAGGATCAAAGGATCCTCAATAACTTTTCTCACGTCATATATATGCCTTAAAACAGTTGTTATTTGGATGTCCTCAACGAATTTTCTCACTTCATATGCATGCCCTTGAAGCATTTGTTAAATGGATTTTCTATAAAAACTCAAATCTACTTTTCAACAACCTAAATTTTAGAATCCACTTGCACAAGGCTGAAAGATCCAATGCACACTTAATCCTTCACTGCGATTTCGCCGGAGACTTCTGGACCTATATGTTGGGTCTATTCCAGTGGACATGGGTCATTCCTAGGTCCATTCTGCACCTGTACCAGGCTTTTCTCAATACTCCCTGGCCCAAGGCAGGAAGGGAACTTTGGAAAGCTTCTGTTTCAGCAACACTATGGGATCTATGGATCGAAAGGAACCACATGATATTTAGAGGAGAGAAATCTTCGGTTGGCGCAGTGGCCGACAAAGGAACTCAGTGGCCTTTTGAGCCACGAACCATACCTTGTTTAAACGCGTCCCTTTATCTGATTCTTATAGAAACTGGCATAACTTACTCCAGGGGACAAAGCCAACTACCTCAAGGTCTTTGCTTTGGAGACCACCCGAAGTAGGTTCTATCAAGCCTAATTTCGATGGTTGCTCACTTGGGAACCCTGGCCCTTCCGGAGTAGGCGGTCTCTTTCGGTCATCCAATGGAATGAACTTGCAAGCTTATTCCTGCCGCATTGAACATGCGGACTCAAATCTAGCCGAAGCCATGGCCCTACTAGAAGGTCTACGTAGATTTCGCATCACATGGGATCTCACCCTGGTGGTTGAAGGGGATTCTAAAAATGTCATGGCTTGGGCATCAGGTCTCTCTCCATGACCATGGTGTCTAGATTACATTTTTGAAGAGATATCCCTTTTGTCATGAGACTTTCCAATCTCGTGGTGCCATACTTCTCAGGAAGGCCAACTCTGATGCTAATCTTCTTGCTCGATAGGGAGCCTACTCTAACTCCCCAAGGGGCACGGCACCTTAGATGTTTTTGTAGGATTCCCACATTCCTCCTCAGAGTTGTAATTTCACTTTCTTACCATTTTTTAAACCCTTCGGGGATGTATAGGGTGCCTTCTAAGAAGGTCCCATTTTGTGTACATTTTATTACCCAGTAATACATTTCTAGTCACCTTCTCTCAAAAAAGACATCCTAAATTTTAGCTATTTTTGCTAAGAGGGATAAAAGGGAGTATGTGTCCAAACTTCCTCCTCAAACAACACACTGACCATGAGCAAGCAAAAGATAAAGAAGAGAAAATGAAGACTAGCAGACTTCCTCTTTCTCGCACCCACACATTTTATACAAGTGCAAGCAAGAGAAGAAAATTTTGGTAGAGGAGGAAAGCACAATCATGGGCAAGTAAAAGATAAAGAAGCAAAAATGAAAACTAGTGGACTTCCTCTCTCTCGCGCCCACGCATTTTATACAAGTGCAAGCAAGAGAAGAGAAATATGGTAGAAGAGGGAAGCACAATGACACTTGGTCCCCACTCAAGAAATTTAACTACTTTAGCAAATAACATCTGGTCATTTACCAAAGAATTTTCTCACGAATGATAAAAGAATAAAAAAGTACATCTTATGAAGGCCTGCAAAGAAATGTATAACTACAGATTAAAAGCGATATAAAATAAATGTGAAGCCTCAAATATTGTTTTGTAGTTCAACAGAGGTAAGTAAGTGGGCTCTGGATATTGAAACAATACAGAATAAGCCAAAAAGATATAAAAATTCCACAGAATAGAAAATCAACAACTAAACATATTCAAGAGGGAATAGGCACAACCTCAAGCAACGGAACACCAGAGCAAAGAGAAAGCGCCTTTAAGCTCCACCGTAGAAAGAAAGCTGCATCTTGCAGTTTCGGTATCTCATGAAAATCAAAACCCAAGGACCTCCCAGTGTCCATAACAAAATCTATCCTAGCAACTAATTCTTCAATTCTTATAATAAAGGTGTCACTATTAAGAAATTGGCCATTTGGTGCACAGTCAGACACATGAGAGGCAATCAAGGAGTTTGTCTGATCAAATAAGGAAGCCGCATCAGATTGCCATGCATCTACATCATGCAGAATCCTCTGAAGAATTTCTGGTTCTTTCAAAGACACCTTTAAAAGTTTTGACTGATTGAGTAACTCCTGTAAAATGCAGAGCGTATAGAAGTAAAACATAAGACCCTAGACTTTGAAAAAGAAAAGCACATCATGTACTGCAATATTGATAAATATATATATATATAGCAGAAGATCCCACTTAGGTCAACACCTTCAAGTCATTAACTTTCAACAAGGGTCTAGAAATGTTCCATCCACTCTTGAAGGACAATAGAAAGGGCTGAGCACTCCTAATCCATGACTCAGCAGTTGAGATAGCTTCCTTGACATCATTAAGAGAAGGAAGGATCACAAATACATTTTGCGACATCCTGAAATAAGAGTCCAAAATCACACTAGTAAATACCATTTGTTTCATGTGGGAGTATACTACGAGTCCGACAATATGGAAAATCATAGTCCCATCAGGGATCAACCCCATCTCATGAAATAATGTATAGTGATCTATGTTACATTGATTCTTTGACCAAGGTCCCGTACCCGTGTTAGAGACGTATGGACATGGGTATGGGTACTGATTCGCCTGGATTCTTCGAATTCAAGAATCCTGGAAACTAGATTCTTCGTTAATTTAGACATGCCGAATCCGATATATATATATATATATGTATGGATTCTTATCATAGCATGTTGGATTCTTCTCTCCGATGAATCCTATAGTAAAACATATTAAAATTTTCCAGCCTCTCTCTACATTTTGGGAAATTTTTCAACCTCTCTCTCCAATCTCTCTATGTTTTGGAAAGTAGCATAAACCCAAAAGGTTTCCAATCTCTCTCTCTCTCTC